TATGCCCAAATTTGGTATTATTCGGGCTGCAGTGGACAGCAGTTTCAGCCTCACCTGGCTCCCATCGACACCCCCGTCGGGACTTGAACCAAGACTGCGCATTGTACAATCCCGAAACGTCTAAGCTCCAAGTGAAAATCTCGCTGGGAGTGCTGTCCATTTCAGTCTGGATGAGAATAACTTCTGGTAAAGGAAGGAAGCGTCAACCCAATTCAGATACGTACGGGAAAATTTAATTACATTCATATAAAATAGCCTACTGGTTTCTCGAAAATCTAGTTTTAAAGCGAAAAATGTGTCGAAATAATGTCGTATTATGCACCTACAAACCTGGAAAAATGGCATTTTTTGGGAGTTTTTACTGTGAAAATGTCTTCTATACCACAATTCCTTGAAACCTGACAAAAGCAAAGCTGACTATTTTTCCTTATAAGTAGAGTTTCGAGACTACTAGTAAATCAGTTATATGAAATGTAAGCATCCCAAAATAAAAATCAGTACCGTAGCCGACTATCATAGCATCAAAAATCCCACCAAAGAATGTGTAATGGGCAAATGCACATCTGTCTCGTGGCCCAACGACACTCGTGAAAATGTGGCGCAGCGGTGAGTGTGTCGAAAGCATAGACTGTACGTTCATGGTTCGAGTCCTGCTGGGGGTGTTGATAGGACCTTTGCAAGGTCGAAACTGCATTGCACCCGGGCTGGGAAAATTCAACTACCAGTCCACGAGATGAATACATCTTATATGGCGGATTATTACCGAAAAAAGGTTATTTTATTTCACTCCAGTCTATTCATTTTTATTATGTTTCACATTTTCATGCTTGAGATGTAGGGCAGTTGGTATTGTTTTCACATTAACAGCTTGATTCTCTCTAGAGTCTGCCTCTTTTAATGTATTTTTTGCTTTTTTATACGTTTGTAGGTGGATGGTATTTCGTGCTTCAATTAGGCCGAGCTCGCCAGAAAACCTCAACCAATTCACGATGACTCAAATAGGCTCAAATAGGCGGAGCCTTCGACTGAGACGCATTCACAAATTTGGATTTTCTTCTCATCAAAACATTAAATTAATGCCATGTCAAGAATCTCTTTGTTCGGCAGTTGGTCACAAAATGAAACTCACAACCACGAGGTTTATGTGTGAGTTCGAATCTATCGCCCGTAACCCACTACTGACAAGTATATCCTCGATGAGTATTGCGCTAATCCAAAAAGCTGTTATACCCATTTTGTCAGCACTCGAGAAAGAGACTCGAAGCATGGACTTGTTGATGAGTAAAGAGGATCACTTGACTCTCGGTTCGAATCCCGTCGCGGGTGCTGATAGGGCACAATGTCTATCCACTCCGTTCAGACTTCTCCAACCAATCGGAGCCTCTTCCTCCGCCTCGTCGGGCCCATCGTGAGGTGGCGGCTGATTGGGGCTCGAACCCGCCTACTGGCGAATGGGAATCTAGGCTGGTGGTCATTTTGCC